AAAATTGTTAATAATCTATCACAGCTCATATATGTCAGTGGTTCAAGTGTAGTGGCATAAGTGATATGTTTCCCATGAACGATAGCAGAGCTGATAGAAGCAAATACATTGACATTAAGAATTAGATGTGCTACAAAGAATTGGAGCTCTCGGCAGTGTGTTTGATACAACAGTATACTCAAGCAGTAGAAGTAAAATGTTTCGGTATACCTGTTGATTACAGATATATGCCTTAGTGATGTATGTTTTTAGGCTTTACCTTGACAATCGTCAGCTAAGCTATTGATCGGTCGTCGTCGCGGTCGTCCGTGCTGATACCGTTCGGCATATTGGTGCTCCGTCGTGCTCACATTTCTCGCTTCGGTCAACGATAGACCTATCAGGAACCGGTTTGGCCCACATGTTCAATGGTATAGTTTTTCTGCTATTGCTCATATTTAAGAGTCCTATTTTGAACACGCCAGTCGACCGTAACTTTCAGGCCACGGCAATTTTTTGGCAAAATGGAATTGCATATAGTACAGTTCAGGTCAACGGATTTTGCTTCATTTTGTATGTGAATGAAAAGGCTAGGTTGATATTTAAAAAAATTATTATCCAAATTAGGTAGGGTTTGGTAATCTAAGTAGCATATTATATAGACCAAACAGTCCTGTGGTGTCACAAGCGTCGTCCTGTGTTTGCGTTACAAGATTTCAATTAACATCACTTAATGCAGAAATTGGTATTCTCCTTTCAACCTACCGATAAAACGTCCTATATAGAGTAAAGATTTAGCAACAAACATTGGAACGCCAAGCATAAAACCGTATTTAAATTTCAACGTCCATCGCTACATAGCTGTGTATAGCGCCATCTACGGTCACAAATTGTGATTCATTATGGTTTATAAATTATTATTGCGATATACAGATGGCAATCGTTTCTATGATGTACGTCGATGGTTGCTCAATTAAAACTGACTTCTTCTTACTCACTCATTTGTGTCCTTTTTTGTGGTGAGCTACAGTATCATTGACACTTTCATTTTAATTGATAAGTAGTACTGGTAGCTTGTTAGTACTAGTTGGTACTAGTTAGTGCGTAGGGTAAACTGAGCAACACTGATACAGGCTCTACATTGTTTAAGGCCTATGTTTAATGGTATGGTGACATTATAGATATCTTGATACCGTACACCGATCCATAATAAATATTGTGTATTGTTTTTGAAATTTAGCTTTCAATATTTGAACGCGTGTGAGTATTTGTTTCTAGGTGCTATGTTGGCGTGGTAGATACCAAGACAAGAAAAATGCAAGTTTATGAAGCTGATAATTTTAAGATGAATCCATATTTCCTAGGTATTTTATTAATGTTTTCCTAAAGGTGTGTTTATAGATAAATATAAATATAGTAAATGACAAAATAAATGTAATGCTCCATTTCTAAGCATTTGTATAAATAGATTCTTACATCATTTATGAAAAATGCCAAAAACATTTTGTGTAATATAATACATACCAGGGTAAATTCTGCCTGTGTGAATGAAAGTATACCTGGTGTAATATTTCGTTATCAACGTGTATGCAATGTATTTCATTGTCTACATCTTGTCAAGAAGGGTGTTTGTATGTATCTTTAGAGATTTAAACAAAAAGTTAAACCAGATTTCAGTCGTACTCGAATAGAAGTTAAGACAAAAATGTTTATTTTTTCTCTAGAAAAACGTGATGATGAAGAAGTAGAAGAGAAGAAAAAAGAGAGCTACCAAGAACTGGTGAGTGCATACTAATTCACCGATGCACAAATGCACAGATATGCATGCACACAGTTAAATCATGATTACAGACATGCATACATGTACTCACAAAATGTGCACTCAATTATGCTGAATGACGGTTATATTGAGTGACGACCAGGAAATTAGCAATGACACGAATTTTCGCTCAACCCGCAGAAAGACAACTTGATTGCCGAGTTTGGCAGCAAGAAGAGCAAGCGTGTAATGGAGGCACGGCATAGGAACAAGGTTGGCGCAGAGGTGCTGGAAAAATCCATTACCAATGCCGTTGAAGATGTTTTAGCTGGAGGCGGTGGAATCCTACATGGTATTTACTTACATTTGACCAATGTGCCCTATGATATATATATATATATATTGTAAAATTGTTTAATAATATATACACTTGTTATGCACATATATATATATAAACACATATATAACATTTTTTGCCTAAATTGACCATAAACGTATATGTTTCAGATGCACAGCATGTAGGTGGCGCCTCTGATGCGTTGCCACCATGCAATAAAGAAGCAACAAAGCCACAAGATGTCTACCAGCTCAGTGACAGTATCCTTGTGTATCGAATGTATCGATCGTGCATGAATGTTCTAATATTCTGCAGATTCACATGAAATAATATATTCGCATATCTGCCTGGTGCTGCCTTCTGTAGTGAACAGGTTGAGTCTACTTCCGTTTTCGATGAACAATGATGGTAAAGGCAAATTCGGGTAATGCCGGGCAAACAGTGCTTAAAGTTAATGTAAGGGTGCTGAATTTAAATAACTCGCCTTTGTTGCCATCCTTAATAGCTTTTGTTCAGTTCTTACTGAGACTGATCTGGATTCATTGCGTAGCCGTATGCTAGAGTTCAAAAATGCAAGTTCGCAACAAATAGCGGAATGGAGAAAATCTGAAAGGTAAGAAGCCCTCTGGCTTGGTAGGTGACTACTGGTCACTCATGTGTATTGCATTGTTTTCACGTGTGAAAGTTGTGCGATTATAGAACGACATCTGAGTAGAGGTGGTGCGTGTGTAAAGACTGTCTACGTTCACCTGTTGTAAACGTTCTACAAAAGCTTCATTTATTATCAGTAGAGTTGGTGCTGCAGATAATGCAGAATAAGCATATCCGTAATATGTGATTGCGATTTTTAATGTCATGCAAAACGTTTTATTAATGAAACATTCCACTAGAGTGTGCGTGTACTGTCTGCATCTATCAGCAGATCTCTTTGATTCCGATGCCAAGCTGCGTGTTCAACGAAGTTGTATGATTGTAGAAATCTTAACGGGTCGTCTCTGGTTCACTCTTGCAGTTACAGCGGCTTCATCCTCACTCACCTGGAGAAGCTGCCGCTGGTGGAGAAGCCAAGAGAGGAGCGGGCGGGCCTGCTTGTCTACATGCACTGGTTGACGTCATTGCACAATCTCAAAGCTGCCGATGTGAAGAAGCGGAGTAAGTGGGGAAGCCACGCCACCGAGCTCCTCCTCCTCCTTCTCCTCCTCGTACCTCTTCCTCCTCCTCCTTGTACCTCCTCTTCCTCCTCCTCCTCCTCCTCGTACCTCCTCTTCCTCCTCCTCCTCCTCTTCCTGCTCCCTCCTCCCCACTGCGTTTTCTCTATCCCTCCATTATCCCTCACTCATTCCTCCTCTCGTGCTTCTCCCTGAGCCCCTCTGACCCCCCCCCATCTCAATTTCTGTATGCGGCGCATCTCTCTTACTCCTTCTTCTTGCTCATTTATTATGCAGCACATTTCCCTACTGAAGAGATTTTAGTAGTTCTGTCAGGTGCCTCGCTGCGGCGGGCCTATATAACATCCATAATACAGTTGCACAATCTTAAAACTGCTCACATGAAGACAAGCATAAGTGAGTGTGGAAGCCATGTTGCTGAGCTGTGCTTCCAGAAATGCAGAGGATGCTGAGCGTGGCATCTGATTTGTTGCATGCACGCATGACCCACGTGATATATTGAAATTTAAGCGAGGTTTTGGATAGGGTCTTCAGCCCATGTAGTTACTGCAGTTTGGCATATTTGCTCAAACTGCTTTTGAGACTGAAATGTTGGGAACGTAGTTTGTTTAAATGAAAAGGTATATATGTATGTAAGTATACATAATATACATACGTGGAAAAATAAAAATCTTGATACTATATATGCATAATTCTGATGGAAGTTTTGCCTTTATTTCAGCCATTCCTCTTCCTCCTGGCATTCCAAAGTTGATAATGACTAGGCTGATCAACACATTCACAATCACTGGCACAACTGATGGCACAAACAGTCGTAGCATCAGGTGAGTTGACAAGATAGTGGCGCACTCTGGTGTGCCTCCTCTGTGCGGGTCGTCATAGTTACAATGTACCACCTGCCCCTCACTCTGTTCCTCTAAAGCACAATTACTGTCTAGGCTGATAAACGTGCGATGGCCATGTTTTTGTCATGTTGTTTGTTTTTAACAGATGTGTATGCTACTAGCATATGCTACGATTGTGTCTGTAGTGAAGTTTTCTTTTTTGTGCCCGTTAAAGTCGCATCTCACTCCTAGTGATGTCCATTAGTGACATTATTGATGGACATATTTGACCTCTGTTCAGTGATAAGTTTTCACACTGTTTTTATGCTCTGTCAATGAATGTCTTAGAGGGATGCCAGCCCGGCTGAAAGACAAGCTAGCCTTGCAGATCATTGTCCTTGCTCTCCATATCAGTGGATTCATTCTAGATCTAGCAGATATCGCGAAAGTCTTGAAAATTGGTCAGAAAAGGTGAGTTGAATATAAAAATCTGTCATTACGGTGCATGTTATGTCTCTATAAATGTTGGGACCACCTACTGTATACGCCATATTTTTCGCGTACAGATATTTTCGCGAATTAAGACTTGACGAACAATTTCGCGGTCGGTGAATTATGAATTATTCTGTATGAATTATTCGCGTGTTGTTATTTTCGCGGTCGGGGACGCGTTTGCGAAATTCGCGAAAATTAAACCACCGTGGTGTCACCTCCCCCATATAACCTAGCATGACATTATGATTGCTTTTGTGTTGCAGGATCTTAGGTTACGTTCAAGCTCTAGGCTGTAAGGTGGTGACGAGTAAGGCAGTAGGGAGCACAGGCAGCAAGAGTGCCTCGCTGGAGCTGCCACTTGTTTTTCCCACAAAGAATTTCAAGAGGGGAAAACGATCGTGATGTTGAACGGAGGCAATCTTTTTCTTTGAATCTGGGTTCGAGACCTAGTAGCTCAAGTGGCACATGAAGTTATGTAGTTTGCAGATTTTCCGTCTATTTTGTACGTGGCTCCCAATGCACACCGTTTAATATTGTGACATGTTGTTGCATATCTTGCTCGTGAATCCAAGTTTTGTTTGTGCAATGACTCCAAGAAGCCGAATCGTCAAATAAGAACACAGCTTGTCAGATGGCGGCGGCATATTTTGTATAAATTGTCAACGAAGAATTTATTGTCAAACATTTCATACGATAATTTCAATAAATAATTTATGTACAGTATACATTCCTAAAGACATTTAATTAGTAGTAGGTCTTCGTCATTGATACACCCTCGATCTCGCGTGCATGCATCGGCTACATTACAGGAGCAGCCGTAATTAACATGGACAGCGAGAATGATCAACATGAACACGAACCTTACGTGCAAACCATGTACAGCTTCTAGCTCTCTCCAAAGTCTGACAACCGACACTGTCCCATCCCCACACCGCAGTGGTCAGTAAAATGTCATACTCTTTCGCTGGACCAGAAAACGGTGTTCACGTGCGCTGACCGACCGTACGCCTATATATCTATATATCACAGAAAACACTAACCATAAGCGCACATATACATGCTGTTAACATCCATGCAGACGAAGAACACGGCTGTACGTCTGTAGAGTCGAAAATCCTATGTTAAAGAGCCGCTTCTCGATGGTGAGATAGTTAGTCTTTGGCCGCCTGTAGCAAGAACGCACGCACGCACGCACGCACGCACGCACGCACTCATACGCACCATCCATAGGCGCGGCACATGTAGTGCACAAAAGATACCACAATGTAATTCCTTTTCTTATGAGTCTGCCATTGTGTCATAATAAGAAGAGCATTCTAAACGAGTGCCTTTAAGATTCGCCTAATATTTTTTTCCGTTTTTTCGTTCCTGACTGGATCAAACTGCAGCTGATATTTGCATGAACCTGTTTATGTTTCATATTGGACCTTTGCGGCTTATATGGCCTTAAATAGATTTCCCCTGACTGTTCACGGCTACACGTGGAAGTGCACATGACTGAGACATGGATAAAAGATATTAACACAAGGCTTGGACATTGCACAATGTCTTGTGCATTTCTCGTACAGCCCAGGGTTAAAGTAGACACACTAATCTTCATCCAGGGGCTGGTTCTTTCTCTGAATACAACCTCCTTTGCGCGAGATTAGGTCTAACGTCAGTACGACCACAGCATGTCCCGTGTCTCCTCTATTCTTCTAGATTCTGCACGTTCTGCGGCAAAGGTTGAGATGATGATTACGTGAGGAGATGTGATTTGGTGATAAAGAGGCCAGTCAACGCAACCTTTCTAAGACATCTAATATTGATATTATTTTATATATTATAGATATATGATATCTTATATGTAGATATAGTATATCTGTTATATATGTATATATAATATATAGGCCCAGCTCACATTGCTGTTGTCCAATACTTGTTCGGATACAGATTGTTTGAAATCTATGTGCGCCCGCGTGCGTGCGTGCGTGCGTGCGTGCGTGCGTGCGTGCATGGAATATTTGGAATAGCATGGAATCTGATCATGGTATTACCAATACTAACATAATCTTTCCAAATTACTAGCGTTATGATCTGATGCAAATATTTGTGTCGGGCCAGCAAATCTCCGAATTACCCGACATAAGCTAGCGGCTATAGTGAGTAAATAATGTTAACAACACTAATATATTACCTCACAATAAATTGGGCTTATTCGGCCACAAGGCCACAATGTGATCCGGGCCGACGAACACCGAATGTCGCACGGAATCGTCCGATTTCTCAAAAGGCCCCAAAAGAATGTTTCGTATTTAAATCTTAATAATAATTAACATGGCGGTCACCCTAACTAAACTCTTCCTTTATAGAAATATCACAGATGAAAAATTGATGATATAGTAATCGACGGTAACACCGAGACTGAATGTCTAACCGCACAGCTTGTGATAAACGAGTTAAAATGTAAATTATGATATAATCTAACACATGGTTCAAAAACGTACAGCTTGTTGCTGGCCAACACCACCAGCTGTTAGCTGCTAGTGATAAGAATAGCAGCACTTATAAGAAAGGAGGCTTTGTACAGTTAGCGACAGGTGAGGAAAATATACATTTACATTTCGGTAAGAGATATTCAGTCGTTGGACACACTTAGACTCACAATGGTTAACAGACAGCTTATGGTGAATAGCATAAAACAACGCCTCGTTTCATCGTTTCAATGCTGAATTGTTCTCTATATCGAAATGGAATTCTAATGGAATTTCCCTCATCATTGAATGGACTAGAAGAGCTAGCTAGCGTCATGCTGTTATACTATCTCTCAAAGTAGACATGAATCGTACGCGCCAAATTGATGTTAACAGCATGAGTTATTTTTGTTTTGCATTTTAGACGTGTACTGAGGGGGCAAGTTGTTGTTGGAATTTATCTGTCAGTAATAGTCACACCACAGAAATACCGGTCTAATTTGTTGTAATATTCTTATGCTGTATATAGTTTTACATAAGCAAGTAGATCAAATCGAGTGAGTTATGCTGGCATGGATAGGCTATCCAATAATGGCACGTGCTAGCAATTCTGCAAATCTAGCACAAATTGAAATTAGTATGTACATATAAACATAATTTCTCGATATATGTACAAAATAGAGAATATTATCCAAATGCTAAGGACGCGTCACGCGTGCGTGCGTGCGTGCGTGCGTGTGCGCGCGTGTGTGTGCGCGCGTTTTGGTGTGTGTGTGTTTGTGTGTGTGTGTGTGTGTGTAGTGTGTGTGTGTGTGTGTGTGTGTGTGTGTGTGTG